ACAGGCTCCAGGCTCTGAGCCATCAGCCCAGAGCCTGACGAAGGAGGGGAATTCTTAACGTCTGAATGTCATAATGCAGCAGAAAGTGTGAGATTGAACTTGAACAGAGATCCTGTGTTTTGGACACCCTCAGGCGCTCATCATTGCCAAGAGTGGACTTTCTGGTGGTTTCAGGAGGAAGATAGCCCATGTAGAATTATGTACATAAATGCTAGTTGAGGGTTCATAGGCTACTTTTTGGTCATGCCAGTCTGTGTTTATTTCTCTCATATGCTAGGCTGAACATTGAAAGTAGACAGAACGTGTTCTTTCAGGCTCCTCCTTATCTCCCTCATGCCTGTCCATCTCCTGGGAAGCAGAAGATGGGAAAGAAGAAAAGTGTGTGGTTCATTGGTAATGAATATTACATGTACTTCATTATATACTCTGCCAACAGATCCTCGCAAGTATCTGCCCTTCCAGTAGTCTGTTCAGCCTATGAACAAGATGACATTTTCCACTCTCAGCCTAGTTTTATGGGAGGAGATTGACACCTGACCCAAGGTGAGATAAGACCAGCCATCCTTTGCTGGACCAGTGGCCAGATTCCTCTTCTTGAAAATTTGAACCAAGATACTTTGTGACAGTCGTCAGTCAGTGTTGGGCTCTGGACCTAAGAGATCATAACAGATTAGAGCTGGAGCACTCATGTTGAGCCTTGTGTGATATGAGTAATTGGAGGAATCCAGGTGCAATGAAAGAATAAAGCAGATGTGTAGAAAGGAACAGAAATGAAGATCAAATGACTGAGAGATGGAGGGGATGACTTTAGTCATTGTCTAGTTCCTGACTCTGGGAGTCTGGATCCCTAGATGTCTTGAAATTGACATTTGTGTCTCTACTACAAACCTTCCTAATCTTGAGCTACTTTGAGTGAGTTTCTCTTCTGAAATCCTTGATACTTCATGAAATATACTATTCATCTACCAGCTTGTCTGGTTTGGGTTATGTTTTGGGGCATGCAAAATTTTGTTTTCTGACTTGTAATCACAGGTTGAACTCATCTTTGCCAACCCTGTGAGATGCCCATCATATCCTCTGGTGCCTTTCTATTCTAGTACTATCCAAGCATGAACATGAGAATGCTTTCCTTGTCAGAGGTTATGCCCAGAAATTACGACCTCTCAATCACAACTCTTTCTCTGGCTTCCCTGGGTATCTCTTGCCCATTTTAGCCTAAGTCAGTGGTTCCCAACACTGGCTGTGCATTAGAATTACCTAGAGGGGCGCCTGGGTGGCGCAGTCGGTTAAGCGTCCGACTTCAGCCAGGTCACGATCTCGCGGTCCGTGAGTTCGAGCCCCGCGTCAGGCTCTGGGCTGATGGCTCAGAGCCTGGAGCCTGTTTCCGATTCTGTGTCTCCCTCTCTCTCTGCCCCTCCCCTGTTCATGCTCTGTCTCTCTCTGTCCCAAAAATAAATAAATGTTGAAAAAAAAAATTAAAAAAAAAAAAAAGAATTACCTAGAAAGCTTTTAAAAACTTTTTTTTTAAGTTTAAAAACTTAAAAAAAAAAACCTCCTGGATCCCTCACTCAAAGATTCTGATTCATTTGGCCTGGAGCGAGGGCTCGGCATCAGGTTTTCTATAGTCTCTAATAGAACCAGGGTTGAGAACACTCGCATAAGTGATCATTCAATCTCCTTTCTTATCAGTTTAGCATGCAGGAGAACTCCTGAAAGAGTGAACTGGAGTTTGGAATAATTGGAACAAAGGAATTATAGCAACAATCCAGTCACTTAGTTTAATTTCAGATTTAAGGCACTAACCAGATCTTCTCTGCAAACCTTTGATTTTCCACACGAACCTCTTTTATGGCCCAAGATCAATGCTGACACTTGGTTCCCATTTGGCTCTGATGAGCTCAATGGCTCCCATCAGGGTCTAAGCTCTGGTTGTTCTGGACCCTCCATTTTTCTGTAACTTTCAG